TGGCTATGAAAAGTTTGAATAGATGAACCAAAGGTTGAGTAGATTATGAACTGTAAGTGCTAATTAGTAATTACTAATTGCAAAGCAACGTATTTGAATAGCAGTTTAAATGAGATGTTATTTACAGAAATCTTGAAAATTTGTTTAACAGCATGCGAATGGGATATCATAAGCGTTGCTTAAACAGAGCATGCTTCAATCTAAAGAGCTGCGTAGTCATGCTCATTTATAAATCTTTTATTGTTTATCATTTTCCAAAGAGCTAAAGATCTGTATACTAATCTACCACTAAGCCTAGTCGCGTATATTTACTTTTTATTGTTTAGTCGTGGTGGGGATGTTATCTAAATTCAGCCTCTATGGTCATATGTATCAATGGGCAATTCTTCTTCGTTTTAACAATGCTGTTTAATCCAAACATGTGGTTTTTGAATATAAGTGTAACTTTTAAAGTTACTTCTGTATTATCAACAACTTTGGAAACAGGTTATGGAAAGCCTAGAATATGCAATGAAAAGAGGCGCACCAATAATTGCAGAGTATTTGGGAGGTGCAGTAAATTGCGATGCTTATCACATGACCGATCCCAGAGCAGATGGACTCGGTGTCTCTTCATGTATTCAGAGTGCCCTTGAAGATGCTGGTGTTTCCCCAGAGGAGGTATAATTTTCCTCTTAGATTAGCATGTCATGACAAAGAAGTATTAAAACCCAATCAAATACATTTCTGTATTTTTTTCTCATTTTACGAGATGCAATTTACCATCATCAGTATGTCGTCAGCTTGCTTCAAAAACTGGGTCCTGCCATTTTGTTCTCATTTTTTAAGAGTTTAAAATTAATAATATATATTTTTTTAATTTCTGCTGATGCCCAAATCTGGAAACGAAATATATATGTGAATTTTGTCATCTTTAAGAGCACAGCTAGGGCTGAATATGAAATTCAATATCATTTGGTTCGTATATTCTTTCAGGTCAACTACATTAATGCCCATGCAACTTCCACCATAGTGGGAGACCTAGCCGAGGTAAATGCCATTAAGAAGGTATTCAAGAACACCTCAGAGATAAAAATCAACGCAACTAAGGTAAGGCCCCAAGTGAAGTTTTCTCTTCGTGTGTGTACGTCTATTCATGTTAGCTTGTAGCTTGTTGATAGTGTATCTTCATTATGCAGTTAATTGATTTGCTTCAGGTTTTTAGTTTTGGACAAGATGCCTTGCTTGTGCATGTGCACTCACCATTTCACTTACTCACTCAGGCCGTGCTTGTTTATAAAAAAACTAGGAAAAAACTGGTTTTTTACTGGTTTTTTGTGTTAACTAGAGTTTATTTGAAATAAAAAAACTAGGAAAAAACTGGTTTTTTACTGGTTTTTTGTGTTAACTAGAGTTTATTTGAAATAAGTTAGTATGGTTAGTTGTTAGTGGGATTTTAAGTTTGTATTAAAATAATATTTAAAATAAAATGATTAAAATTGATTTGATGTAAAAGAAGGAGATAAATGATTGGAAATGATAGGTAGTTAAAATTATGTGAGTGGATGAACAGTGAATTAAAGTCGATGTGATGTGTAAGAATGATTGAATGATATTATTTAATTATAATGATAATATTGAGGATAGTGGGATTGAGTTAAAGTTGAGTTAGATTTTATATTGAGATAGATTTTTTTTCTAGTTTTTTTCTAGAAATTTGATAAACAAGCAAAGCCTCACTCACTCACTCACACACACACACACACACACACATGGATGCTCTTTCATTGAGCATCAAAGATGTTATCTCGTTTTTCTCTGTGGGCTTCTCACTTTTTTCATGTTTGTCCAGTCAATGATAGGACACTGCCTTGGTGCTGCTGGTGGTTTGGAAGCTATTGCTACAGTGAAAGCCATAACAACAGGATGGCTTCATCCCACAATAAATCAGTTTGTAAGTCCAGATTGCTGAATTTTTATGTGGCTTGTNGCTTTTTTATGAATTCATAAACTACAAATGCAGAACCCAGAGCCTTCTGTTGAGTTCGACACCGTTGCAAATAAAAAGCAGGAGCATGAAGTCAATGTTGGTAAGAATACTTTTGCCTTCTAATTTGCATTTGCACTTCCCCACAGTTCAGTCAGGATATATCATGTTAAAAGGTTAAACTAAAAATCCATGTAAAGTTATCCCGTTTCGCCAAAAATACAAATCCAGATGTATTTCAACAATACGAAAGCCCCTTTGATTTTTTTCCTATATTACAGACTGCACCTCAATAGGAAGTTATTTGTGGAAAAATCTTAGGCACTAAATTTGTAATTTTAGAAGATTATTGCAGTGATTTTGTAACTATATCTCATGTCTAATGCTGAACTATGCAGAGTTCCTCGTATATAACACTAATTTATTTGTGTACATTACTATATGCAGCCATTTCGAATTCATTTGGGTTTGGTGGACACAACTCAGTTGTAGCATTTTCTGCTTTCAAGCCTTAATCCTGTTTCGAGAATCTGTTTACTCTAGCAAAATCAAACTTTGCTTACTTGTGGAGAGTCTTTTGGGGCACCTTTTTTCTCTAATTGTTCAAGTCTTAGCACATTCGGACAAAGTCATTTGATTTGTTGGTGTAATAATGTCATTGAGAAGTATAGCTTTTGGTTTGAGAACTGTTCCCATTTCTATGCAATTGTCTGCAGCTGCTTTAGGTGTGAAATGCATCAGTTTTGCTTCACTTCTGTACCCAAGTGAAAAATACTGTTAGATGTTCAACTTTTATTTTTTAGAGCACATGTGTATTGCCCAATAAAACATATAGTTGTGTTACCAAAATTTTTGTATAATCATTAATCACTCTTACCTCTCAAGTTGCAGTTTTTGTATATTCATCCCAAACTGAATGAACATTTTTCTATTGCCAAATCAAATCTTCCATTCAGCCATAAGAATATCATGTTTTATAAAGTAGATTATTATGTAATATGACATTCCATAATGTTACTTATAAATAAGAACTAATATGTGGCTTTGTGATCATTCCAGTAGAAGTTATGTATAGTGTTAGCTAGAAACATGGTTATTAATTGATATATTATGTGTAGTGTTAGCTAGAAACCTAATTATTAATAGGCATGTGTTTTTTTCACAAATATACGTTTTTTATTATAAAATATCATCCAACAATTTAAACAATATGATTTGATAAAATAAGTATGCATTTCTATGTACATATAATCTTTTTTGTAAATATACATATTTTTATTACAAGAAATATAATCTTTTTTTGGTAAATACACATATTTTTGTTATAAGATGTCATTCTTTAAAATCAACATACAGTATCCTTTTATTATAATATACAATATATTACAAGATAATATAAAATGGTGACAATATTAATACTAAAGTTTTATATGCATATTATGATATTATAGGGTTGTATTTATTTGAGATTTCTAAAGACTTGTTGAGATTTAGAAATTTGGTGTATTTAACTTAGTTTTCTTTTAAAGAATTTAAAGAGCCTTGACGTGTTAATTTGAGATTTTTTACACCTGGAATTTGTTAAGACTTTTTAAGATTTTGTAAAATTTAATGTTGAAATTTTAAATACAAATTACATATGCCAAATTCCACTATGAAATCTGTCCTTTAGACTCAGGGGAGTGTATTTATTTAGAAGTTTGAGTGATCGTCTGAGACTTTGCAATTGAATATAACTTTTTTTATTGTTATTTGAAGTTATTGAATAAAATGAATTAAAGTTGAAAAAAAGATTGAGTGGAGTTTTGGATTAGATGTTGAGTTTTTGTTTGGAGATGAGGTAAAATGTGTTTGAATTTGATTGTTAGTTAAAAAAGACATGAGTAAATGAATAGTGAATTTTGTTAATGTGATGCATGATAGTGATATTATTTAGTTATTTTAATAATATTGTGAATAAATTAAAATGAGTTTGATTTGAACTTGATTTTGAGTTAAAAATATGAACATTATATTTTGATAGATTTGAAGTGGACTTGATTGGTTAAATTCGGATTGGATTTATGTCCAATAGTACCAAGACTTTTTAAAATTTTAAAATTGATGAGTAATCTAGGAAATATTAGTATGAGGAGATATTTGGAGTGAGATTCATAAATGTTTTTTTTAATCATAGCAAATATTAAAAAAATCTACCAAATCTCAATTTGATCTAAGTTAAATATTTAAAATCTCAAATACATTTGATTAAAAATCTTAAAATTATAAGTTGAATACAACAAAATTGTTAAAATCTAAAAAATGTTGAGAAATTTAAATAACCATTTCAGTAAAATCCACAAATTTTAAAGTATCTGATTTTGGAATATTTTTTGAAAAGTTTTAAAATGTATCCAAAGGAACTCCTTGTTTCATAGAACACGTTCTCCTCTCTCTTTCCCATCAGCAGTCTACCAGCTGAGCAATTTCCTCCGCCTCCGGCCGCCGCCGTGGCTGACGTAAGCATCATGGCGACGCGTAGGTCTACGCGGTCCACAACCTCCTCTGCGGCTTCTCCTTCTACCCAAACTGATGGGTAAAGAAAGAACATAAATTTCCTAGTCTCAATTTCATTTACTGCACACTCAATCTCTCAACGAGGAGCATTTGTCTTCTCCGTTGTTAATGTTTTTGCCAGTAAATTTTCCCTAAAAGCGAAGCCTGTGAAAACTAGAAAATCTGAGCTGAAGGCCAAAGCCGCTGCGAAAAAAAGGGCGGCGAAAATCGACGCCATTAAACCTAAGAAGCCCCCGACTGCATTCTTCTACTTTTTGTACGCACTTTCTGATTTCCTTGTGTAGATGAGTTTGAATTTACTTGCTTGATCGATCAAATTTGGTGGGTTAGATTCAAGTTTCTTCGTTTGTGTCCGAAATTTGGCAAATCTGCCGCTTTTCGAACGATCTTTTTTCCTTGATTAATCATTCAAATTCTGATATGTGCAATTTTGTTAAAAAGCTAGTTAATTAAAAAAAAAAAAAACTTTTAGCTTTTCTTCATTTATTTTGAACGTGATGTGTTTGTAACTTTGTATGGAGTTGTAGATTGTGGCAGAGCAGAAAGCTAATCGCTCATTCAGTAAAGTATGAATTTTTATTTCGAAGGATCGTTTTTCCTTGATTAATCCTTCAAATTCTGATTATGTGCAATTTTGTAAAAAAAAAAAGCTAGTTAATAAAAAAAACATGCAGTTTTTTCTTCATTTGTTTTGAATGTGCTGTGTTTGTAAGGAGCTAAGGTAGATTGTCGCAGAGCACAAAGCTAATGTTATTTGGTTATCACTCATTCAGTAAAGTATGAATTTTTCATTTTTTTTTTCATTTGATGATTTGGTAGCTACTTGTTGGGGTTGAAATGAAACTGCTCATGATTTGCAGTGTTACATCTTTTAATGATACAGTTCCTGTTAATTTTTAAATGTTTCAGGGAGGATTTTCGTAAGGAGTACAAGGAGAAAAATCCAGATATTAAGTCGATGTGTGATGTACATAGCCAAACCTGATATGATCATAATTCCTTTTACCTTCAGTTTGGGTATTAGTTACTGATAATTGTCTTTGGATTTTGAATAGTTACGTTCTTCTTGCAGATCGGTAAAGCATGTGGAGAGAAGTGGAAAACAATGACATATGAGGTTTGCAATTGGATGTTTTCTTTTAGCCATTGATTTAACTACAAGACATTGCTAAAGATCTTATTCATTCATGGGTTAGAACCTTATGAGTATTATGATTGAACCCTTAAAAAAAAAATTATGGCAGCGTTGTGACTACACCTTATGGTAAAATTAGTGTCTGATTCGAAATTTTGTTTTCAGATTTTTTTTGTCGTGAATTATATGATTGAAAATTTGGTTTCATTATGCTACTGCAGTTAGGTTTATGGAATTTTGAAAGGGCCCATGTATTGGAATTTTGTATATAATGGACTTCATTGAATATATATGTTCATGCAATGTTTGAATTTTCTTATTTTAATATTTCACAAATGCTGGTCTTAGGAAAAGGTGCAATACTATGATATTGCCACGGAAAAACGAGCTGAATTCGATCTTGCTATGGCAAACTTCATCAAACGAAAGGTAGATCAATTCAATATATATTGTTGTTCTTGGAATATTTCTTCTCACAAAATGAGAAAAATTGATTTTTGCCAACTCTCCTTACAAGAAAACCCATTTTGCAGGAATGTGGGGAGCTTGATGTCGATGACTCGGATTTTGATGGATAGAAGCTTATAATAATGGTAGATGTAGCTTGCAACTGTAGATGCTATCTCTTTTTTAAATGTAACATTTGAAAATTAAAACTCTGTATCTGTATTATTTCTTGTGCATTAGTATGCATATCTATCCTTTTTTGTTTTATTTAAATTTTTTCATAAAGTTGTGTACATATGTTAGTTGAATTAATGATAATCTCAGAAAATCCTTCACAGTTTGGAAACGAATGGCAGATTGTGGCTCTTGCTTGGAGTTACAGATTGATTAGTGTTNAAACCCAACTTGTTTTCAACTGTTCTCATCCTGGGCCAACTGTTATTGCTATGTACCATATTTTCCAATTATGTAATATGCTTTATTGACAAGAGATTATCTAATCTAATAGCTAAATTAGACACATATAATCACCTCCCACACACAACGGCCAACCATCAAATGAAAGGCAATGACATGGTCGCATTCTGATCACATATAATAAAAACCCCACTTATCTCTCTCTAATTTTCTCTCTTTTTTCACATACACCCTTAATTTTCTTTTTAATCACATAAACCTTATTTCTTTTCCCCCTCTCCTTACAAGAGGCCCAAGGACAAGGGAAAAAAGGTGGTGGCCGGCTGAGGAAGAAGAGAAAACCCAGAAAAGCGGCGAATGAGGTGGCGGCAATAACAATGTCGACGGCTAATTTAATGGACATCGACATAAGCCGGCTGAACAAAACCATTCTGTGCTATGCCGAAACTATTTACAGGTTTAACGGCCTTTGGGAAGGACCCGATCCTCTCACGCCCCTCATCTCTCTCTTCCTCATCCAGCTCACCTTCTCCATGAGCTTCATTCATCTTCTCGTTTACGCATTGAAGCCTTTCAACCAACCGCCTTTCGTCGCCGAGCTTCTCGTAAGTCGCGAAATAACGTACATTTCATGTCGTTTTCTTTCTTTCTTTCTTTCTTTCTTTCTTCTGTTCCTCTCTGCAAAATCGCGTGCGTAAATCCATACGATACGCAATCTTTCGAAATTATCAAAGCCATTATATTACAACGACTCGACATGCACCTTTTTGATGCATGTCGAAACGTTATGACAATAACACGTAATAATAAAAATAGACAAAAATTATTTTTCTGAACCGCAGGGCGGCATACTGTTGGGTCCTTCCGCGTTCGGCCGCATCACGACCTTCCGGAAGCTTCTCTTCCCCAACTACTCCTTCAAGGTCTTGGAGCCCATGGCCCACCTCTCCATCACCCTCTACGCTTTCCTCGTCGGTCTCAAGATGGACGTGAAGGCCATTCTCCGACTCGGCCCAAAGTCGACTAAAGTCTCTGTGGCCACAATCTCCGTACCCTTCTCCGTTGGCTGCGGCCTCTTCTTCCTCTTCGCCGGAGATCGTGACCAGTGGCTCGGCTGCCTCTTCTGGGGCTCCGCCTTAGCATCCACCGGCTTTAGCATCCTCACAAGAATCCTCGACCGCCAACAAATCCTCCACACCGAGGCCGGGAAAACCGCCGCCTCGTCCGCCCTCGTGGCCGACATATCCACGTGGGCCCTACTCGCCCTTTCCCTAGCGGCCACGAGCTCTCGGAACAACATCCATTGGTCAATCATAAGCACCACCGCTTTCGTCCTCCTATGCGTCTACTACGTTCGGCCCGCGCTCGGATGGGCCATTCAAAAGACTCCCGAGGGCCAAGGTTATAGCGAGTTCTACATATGCTCAGTTCTTGCGGGGATGTTTGTTAGCGGCGTGTTGACCGATGTTTTCGGGACGCACCCGATGATAGGGGCGTTTGTGTTCGGGCTCGTGATACCGAACGAGGTGCTCGAGGCCACGATTGCCGACAAGTTGGAGGATTTCGTGGTGGGGATTTTGTTGCCGGTTTACTTTGTGGTGTGTGGGCTGCGGACGAACGTGGATGCGGTCTCGACGGGGACTTCGTGGGCGGTGGTCGGGTCGGTCGTGGTGGTGGCGTGCGCGGTCAAGGCGTTCGGGGCGTTGCTCGTCGCGGCGTTCTCCGAGCTTCCGGTCGACGAGGCGCTTGCCGTGGGCTTGCTGACCAACGCCAAGAGCGTCATGGCGCTCGTCGTTCTCGAAACAGGGCAAATACAAGGGGTGAGGAATATCATTGAAAAATCTTTTCAGCATCTTTACATTTAGCTTTAAGGATAAATCATTTTTTCCAATCTTTGCTTTTAGGCTTTGCAGTCAATGTTTTACCAAAATCTGTATCCGAAAAAATAAAATTATACCTACTGACGAACGACGATTTTGTCCCCAATGTTGTCTCTCCACGAACAACACAGGTTCTCAACACGCAGATGTACTCGGTGATGGTGGTCGCGGTTCTGGTGATGACTATGATCGTGACCCCTGCAGCCATCTACTACCGTCCCGTCCAAAACTTAACCCCGTACAAACGTCGCACGGTCCAGAAGGCCAAGTCAGACGATGAGCTCCGCGTTCTCGCGTGCATCTACGACCCGCGCAACGTCCCCCCTCTCATCCACATCCTCCGCACGACCCACGCGTCCCCCCGATCCCCACTCTCCGTCTTCGCCGTCCAACTCGTCGAGCTCGTCGGCCGCGCCTCCGCCGCCACGACCCTCGTCGCCCACGCCCCCCGCCGCCGCGCCTCCGTCGCCCCCAACCACCACCACCACCACCACGCGGGCCAAGTCGAGGCCCAAGCCGACCAGATGGTCGCCGCCCTCGACAACTACGAACTCCGGTCGCAGGGCGTCCGGACCCACGCCTACACCGCCCGTTGCCCCCTCGCCACCATGGACGACGACATAAGCAACGTGGCCCGCGACAAGCGCGCGGCCCTCGTCCTCCTCCCCTTCCACCGCCACCAATCGTCCCCCGACGAGCCCATGGACGAGATCACGCCCGCCACGCGCGCCGTCAACGAGGCCGTCCTCTCCGGCGCCCCTTGCTCGGTTGGCATCCTCGCCGACCGCGGCTTCGCGGGCTCCCACGACCACGCGGCGAACATCGCCGTCTTGTACTTCGGCGGGCCCGACGACCGAGAGGCGCTCGCGTATGCGTGGCGGATGGCCGGCGGCGAAGGCGTCTCACTGACGGTCGTCCGGTTCATCTCGAGCGGCGAGCCGGCGGCGAACGGGAAGAGCGGCCACGTGGAGGATCCGAGCGACGGTTTCGAGGTGAGCCTCGAGATGGATTACGAGCAAGAGAGACTCCTCGACGACGACTATTTACAGAAGTTCCGAACAGCGACTGCGGACGACAAGTCGATAAGCTATTTCGAGCTTGTGCTTAACGACGAGGAGGAAGCTATTAAGGCCATTAAGTCGATGGATGGTCACGGGCACGATTTGTATGTGGTCGGGAGGGGGAGAGGAATGGTGTGCCCGTTAACCTCGGGACTTGCCGACTGGTGCGACTGTCCGGAGCTGGGGCCGATTGGGGACCTTTTGGTCACGTCGGAGTTCGAGTCGGTTTTCTCGGTTCTGATCGTTCAGCAGTACGTGAAGACGAGCAGGTCGAGGGAGGGGTCAATAAGGTCGTCAAACTCGGGGAATTACGGAGAGGAGATGGTAATGAGGCCGTCGTTGAGCGGGAGTGATGGGGGGCTCGAGCATTATGGGAGCTTTAGGGATTGGGATCATGAGAATTGAGAGTGCTTTTGAGTGAAAGGGAAAAAGAAAAAAAAAGAAAATAAGTTTTTGGAGATAGTCGACATTTTCGGACTCGAGGGCTCGAATGCAATGAAGAGACGAACTTTTTGTGCAGGAGGGTACTCTGTTAGTGATCATGTGTGAGGGGTTCGCCTGTAAAATTAAATCATGAATTAATATACGAGCATCAAATTCTTCTCCAACTGCATGGGTTATAACATTTTCATTTTCTTTTTGTTTGGGGAGATATGTACTCTACATATATATTTGGAATTTTCAAACTATAGTATTTTTCATGGCAAAATACTAACCTCATCAACAACTTTATGTACACTCATAATTTGCAACATTTCATATATTTGATCATCATGCATGTATGTTTTGGCATGTGATTGTTCGAGATTGTTCGTAATCTTGATCACAATCTCGATTATACAACTTGTAATTATATGAATACTCATAATTTGAGATTGTGATCGTATGAAGTGATCACACTATATATTATTCAATCACCACACAAAGAGTTTGCACTTTGCACCGCGGTTCTTTCGTATAAAGTGAGTAGGCTTGACCACCGAGAACAAGGTAAGAAAATGATAAAATTCCAATATAGCAATTTTCATAAATATTCCAATGTTATTACTGCAATTAAAATTAGTTTGAAGAACTCCCAAAGGATTAAATAATCCATTGGAATTATCTTTCCTTCGAAAATTCCGTTTGATTTTTAACAATTCAACGACAATTTTCCCCACGATTGAAATGTGGCCGGAGAAATAAATTTCAACAGTAATTGGAACCATTTGAAGAAATGATCATCGGAACTCGCAGAAATTTGAAGGGACTTTTTGCATTTGTGGTCTATAACTCGATAAACATTTGAATTCAAGCCGAAAATACTGTTTTTCTTACCATAAAGGGAGACCGAAATACCGATCTCTAATAAGCAACTCAAAACTGCAACAACAGAACACAAAGACAAACAAAAGATTGTCATATCACCCACATATAAGGCAACCCCAAGTCTTATTAGTTTCACTTCATGCGATAAATCACATTTTCCCATATTCCAACAAAAACCCGATTCTTAAACCTTAAAAAACTCAAAAAAAACCCAAAACAGCATAGCACACAGAGAAAATCACAGTTTCAACCAATCGGCCGGGATCCCATAAACACCACGCCATCCCCTCTCGACATTTGCCACATCAGCAGCAGCTTTTCCCGAACCCAAGTGCTCCGTGGGTCCCACTTCCTTAGCCGAACTCCCGAGCATTCCATCCCTCAGCTTCTCCAACCTCTCCTTCAGATCCCTGAGTTGGTCCATTCCGAGTCGACTCAGCTGCTCGTCTGTGACCTCGAGTGCTGCCTCCAGTTCTTTTCCTCTCCTCTTCTGGGCCTCGAGCTCCTGGGCCTTCTTTTCGCACTCTTCCTTGAGTTGGGCCAGCATGGCCATGTGGGCCCGAACAGCGTGTGGGTCCGGGATCGGGCTAGGGGGGTTCCTATTGAAGAAGCGGCCCACAACAGACTCGACATTTGGGTGGGCAAACGAGTAGGCCCGCCCACCGAGGGAGAAGATTATTATGGCGATGTGGGCCCCACAAAGGATGGAAAGCTCGGTAGCCTTCTTGAAAAGCCCGGCCCGCCGCTTGGAGAAAGTCACAGTCCGCGCGTTCTCATCGGCGATCAGCTTCATCTCTATCTTTCTCCTGCCTTGTGACTTCTTTCTTCCCTGAGGAGGAGGAGCCATGGCAATTTTTTTTTTCTTTTTTTNAAAATCAAAATCGCGTACAAAGAAAGTTGGGGTGAAAGTCTATGTTATATAGGGATTTTCGAGGGGGATTTCAATGGGAGGAAACAATGGCTTTTGAACAAATCCCGGTTGGATTACCATATTGTTTTTGGAAAATCTGGTAATAATCAATATGGGGCTTTGCTTGCATTAAAACGCTATGAATAAAAGCCAGGTTGGGGATTTGGACAAGTGGCGACTATTCTCAGTGAGAGCGTTCACGGCTAACCAATGGCGTATTGCCATTTGGAGAGAAATGCCACGTCACTGATAAAATATTGACATTTGAGTACCAATATTTACAACAACAAAAAACAACAACATACCCAGTATTCCCAACAGGTTGGGGTCTGGAGGGTCAGTTGTACGCAGACCTTACCCTTGTAATTATACAAGGAGGTTGTTTCAGTAGCGACCCAAGGTGCATTACGCCGTTTGATATATTTTTTTTTCTAGAAACTTCTATTACTAATAGAAGAAGCACTAGAATTTAACTGAGCCATTTCGATCTAATCCATTATTAGCACTATGCCAGGAAAAAAAATCATCGACTAATTGGAAATAGAGAAATAATGTTTCTCCTTAGCTCGTGCGGATAAGAGAACTACGCATACATATAGATGTTGCTGTGGCTGGTCAATAATTAAAGTTTCCTGCTTTTTTAAATAAGAGCCTCAAAAGAGAATTTATTACACGATAAAGTGATTGTATGTGATTACAGGAAGTTAATACTAGGTAATCTCAATTCAATTTCTTTTGCCTTGGCAGAAGCAGAGCAAAAGGCAATGTGAACAGAGGGTCAATTGTTACAACTTGTACAGCCAAACTGCCAAACTTATTTCTCCAAAATGATATAAGAACAACAATCTACTAATTAGGTCCTATTGAAAGTCATTTACGGATTATAACAACAATTGCAATTACTATAAAATGCATTCGACAGAGAGATTTTATGTTCTGCTCCTCCAAATATGCAAAATATAGATCTAAAGATAGAATTATAATTTCGAGAATTCTATATAGAGGATTTTTTATCATGCATTTTGCTAAGTTACATAACATACTACTGTATAGTAACAACCGTTTCGCCTCTAACATTATATTTTACCAATAAATGGTTCTATTAGAAAATAAAGGTTTCATGTGTAAAACACACATAACTTTTTCACACTGAAATATAGTAACTTACATCGATGATATGCTTATTGCATTATTGGCTGCAAATCAGAAAGTCCACATTTGATTTGGAATCTGCATCAAAATATAAAATAAAATCAAATTAAAGAAATACATAAATAACTAGACATGATGTATAAATTTGATGTGAAATCAAAGCAGAAGAAAAATGGCTACTGAGAGCAGGGTGGGGTCCTAGGAGATGCAGGATATAAAAATTGCGCATGCAAAACTATAAGAGGAATAATATATTAAAAAATATCAAAGTCTTACAATTTAATAGATAATATATGAAACTTGATACGTCATCAAATATACTAAATACTGGTATAATATTGCTTTACGAAAAATCTCTTGAATTATGAAAACATGGATTTTTATGAATCTGATGTATGATTTAAAGAGATTAGCAATTATAGTAATTCTTCTTATTTTTTAAAAATGATTATAAGTATTAATATTTAATAGATGAGATGATTATATGAATATTTTGTTTTTAAATCAGAGTGAATTTCCCCAAAGAAAAAAATCCATTAGACATACTAACTTGTTACAAAATAAAATAATATATACATATACATGACCGAAAAATCGGATGCATATTTTACTTGCACACTCTATTATTACCTATGTACATCTGCAAAACATCTGAGTCCTAAGAGAAAACTGAAGTTCTGGTTTTATATCATGGTGAAGATCAACTGTAACTACTCAGCTAAAAAGTGAAAACACCACAAAGATAATCATAAAATTGGGCTCCCATCAATTGACAAGAAATGTTTAAATCAGCCACTTACTACTGCATGTGTCCCTCAAAGTGGTTAAAGTTCAATCGTTAAATCTGGTCTTAAAAAATACACACTTCCAGCACAAAGCTTACTCTTACACTAGAAAAACTAGTAAGTGATTTACATTGGGAGGGACTGGGCTGGGCTCATTATTTTAAGAAAAAGACAAAGGAATGAAGAAAAGGAAAACATTTCTGTAAGTGCAGTCAATTTTCCAACTCAGCCCAACCTTATTTATCTCACCCTTTCAATCAAACCAAATCCAGGCTAATCTTGCCAAAGTACTGCAAATTATTATTTTTTTCTTCAATCCAAAGCTTAACCCTGTTTTCCTATGTTTCATGACGCTTATAATTTCAGCTTCATCTATATACAATATTTTGAAAACAATATGCAGACATTACATTCTCTTTCTAACTAAATTGATCATTTTTAGCCCCTCAGATTTCTTGTCTCCACCTCTTATGCTTGGGTTGCATAAATATAAATGCGTGAGCAGGTCAGTAGTATAGGATAAAGTTCACTAGATATATGAACCAAAATCAAGTTAATTGCAAAACGAGTGAATAACAAAATTAAAGCAATTCAAATCTAGCTATCACATGTAACGGGAATTCTAATAGTCACATGGACAAAGGGAGAATTCAATACATGCTATTCATACTTAGAAGTGAATGTTCTCCAACTGAAATCAAACTTTCACAGTACAGAGTTCAAGGAAAAACTAAAACCAAATTGTAGTCAAATAAACCAATGATCACGGAATACCTTAAAAACCACAAACTAAACAACAACTTAAACTAACAGTTTTTGAAGATTAATACCTCCAATTCCATGTCAAAATCTCCAAAGGAAAACTATTAAACTAGACCATTTTCGTCACCGAGTCATTTTATCAAACACCTCTCGTCATCCGTCGTCCCTGAGAGCCAAAAAAGATGAGCACCCATTAATGCCGCAACGAACAAATACAGATTGTTAGCTTAGTTTAAATTAAAGATTAATGCATCAATTAAGTGTCCTCAATTTCTCTTCAGTCCTAATTAGCTCCGGCTATCCACTTAATTGAACTTGCCAATTACACAGTTCAAAGCAGCATTAAAGATAACGAACAGTAAAAACGAAAAAAAAATAAAAAAATATAGAAGATCACCTGTGGAGCTCTTTCGCCGGAGATTCAGCTAACGACGGCGCCATGGAGGCGGGATCCGTCGGCTAATTTTTCTCCGGCTAGTCGGGGATTTGACTGGGCTTATGTAGTCCAATGGTTTTGGCGGAATACTTGGGCTGACGAATAATAAGGGTAAACTCGTCCACTTTCCCTTTCAAAACGACTTATTTTGGTCAAGTTTCATTTCTATATCAATTTTTACCAAACTCGTCACCATTTCACAATTAAAGAGAGAGGGAGAGAGGCTGATTGATTGAATTTGAGGTAGAGAGAGAGAAAGAGATGACTGTTGATAGATAGATTTAAAAAAGGGCTTTTGTAGAGGTGGGGTGGGGGAATCCCCATCAAGCAGATCTGTAGACCTGGGAGAAAATGTGAAAGATTCCATCGCAAAGGGATATCCATTAGATTCTCGTCAATTTTCTCCCTTTTCTATTTGCTTTTGCAAATTTTCCCTATTTTCTGTACGAGGATGGCGATTTTGCGTTCTTACATATGTAGGGATACAGTTTAGGCAAAGGCCCACTCTGCAAAAATCTTGCCTTTTCTGCATTGACCCTTTATTATTGGGAGCATTTTCATTCGATATAACTCACGCGGTGGGTGAGACTTGAGAGTGTGTGTGTGTGTTTGTGTTGAATGGTGTAATAAAAAAGAAAAAGTGAGAGGAAAAATTAAGATCAAAAGGGGAAAAAGTATGTTGGAATTGAGAGAGGAAGGAGGGTGCTATCCAGAGATGGTGATGGGAGTGAGTGTTGGGCTGGCTTGCGTTGATGGCTTGATTGCATTTCTTGCTTTTTATCAGGTAATTAAGTGGTTTATGTTGCTTTTTATTTTNTCTTCAGGTTGGGTGAAGGGTTTGGATTTGGGTTTTAGTGAAAAGTATTGGCAATGTAAGCACATTATGGGCAGATGTTTAGTTCACAATGCATACAAAGTATATGGGAATTTGTCTATATATGTGAAAGAATCAAGGTTCCGAGTTCGAATTGTGCAAGTTTTTTCTAATCAAATTTACAAAGTGTAGATGTGATGATTCCCTCCCGTAAATTGAAGTTATTTCGGTAGCATAGTTGTCTAAATGCGTTTGTGATACCACTCGGTTTGGTGCTTTTTTCAACTAATAATCTTAGCTGAAGGTATTGAAGTTCATGAGATTTTTTGGCTGCACTAGGAGAATTCTGAATTTAATATCTGTGTGACGTTTGGCGTGGATTCTGTTTTCTTAATATGTTACATGATTGTCTTAGTTTTAGAGAAAAGGGTTTAAGTTCATTGTGCAGACCTGCAATGATATATATGCTCATGATGATGAGATTCCCCTTTCTGACTGACCCCTCTAGATGACTCAAATTTCTGTGTAGGGATTTTTAGAGGAAAAATATGGGAGAGACCAGGAAATTATGTTATAGAAAGGATGAATTTAAAATGTAGTTGCCAGCAAATTAATCATGAATAGTTATATATATATATATATATATATGTGTGTGTGTGTGTGTGTGTGTGTGTGCGTTTGTATGTATATGTATGTGTGTGTGTGTGTCTATTGGAAATTATGGAAGAGCTTCAAGTGGTTATGGCAATGGCAACATACTATTGTTTGTCCTCTTTTCTTGTCAATATGAGGAAAAAGCTTCTTACCCTTTTCATTTATTATATACTGACAAACATTTGCTATCCTGTGAAATGGGTTTATTACTAGGTATTTCTAACTGTTTTAGGAGTGTTAGTTGTAGTGCTTATGTTCTCATAATCTGATTTTTTGTCACCTGTTTTACCAGCTGATCAGAATTCATTCAAGAAATTCGCAGCTTGGGTGGACCCGTCAAAAGGTTTGCGTTTGTTGCATTTGTATGTCCCCTCTTGATGCAGTTATGTTTATGTTATTGTTCAGTTTATGCTACTCTTTGAAGACTAGATTTCATGTGATTTGATTCAATTTGTGGATAAATTGGAATTACGGAATCAGTAATCTTTTTCATCATGTTAAGTATTTGTTTTTTCCCCGAGGGTTACGAATATTGGTTTTTAACTATCTTTAACAAATTATAAGGTGGAACCATTCACAAACTAAAGCTCTAGTACAATTCTCTGTGTTTAATGTTATGGTCACAATCCAAGCTACACCAGCTATCAAATCGTGCTTTGTACACATGAAGGAAGTAGATAATGTACTTACAATTAACAAATCCATGTAATTATGAACTTGTAAGAATAAGTATCACTAGTTCCAAATGTAAAAAGTCCATAAATAAGAAGGTCAATGATTACGAAGAAAATTGAAAATATTATGAATCTTTTTGGAATGAATTCCCAATCTTGATTCTCCAATGCTGTTTCTTAATTCTTAGTCTTCATGTTCACTTTTCAATCTGAAACCAAATTGAGTTATGAAAATGTTGTCTTATATGTCCTTCCATGTAGGAATTCCAAAATCCAATTCGTGAAATTTGTTCGTTTCTTATTATCATTTGATATTCCGATTTGCAATTTCGTATTATCATTATCATCAACAATTAAGCTCATGTCAACTTACTTCTGCCATATAGTACCTCAATCCATTTTCTGGTACCTAAGTGCCTGCACTCCGAAAAAATGACTGGCGTTGAGAATTCTAGCTTTTTGTGTTTTGTGGTTTCACTATTAAATCAGTCTAGCTGCCATCTATATATAGTGGCAGTTATATTCTACACGAAACTTTATGTGAGTGATTGATTTTTAATTTCAGGTCTTTCATCTGATGATTGGATCCTCTAATTTCGGTGAGCATTGATTTTACTTGGTCTTTTAGTTAAAATCTCTTGAAAAGTTGCTGAATCTGTCTGCTGGATTGAGCTGCTATCGGTAGTATATTTTTAAAACTGTATTTGCAGTAATCCTTTTTTAAAGACAGTAATAAATCCATTATTTGCAGTATATTTTCAAAACTGTATTTGATTAACTCGTGAAAATGTAATTTGACTGCCAGGTTACTTCCTTTATTTTGTGTTAACTCCTGTTGCTGCTTGTAAAGGATGGATTTGCTGGTCATATTCATGTGGTTTCATCGTCATGGGTAGGGAAATTGATAGCACATACTATCGTGTAATCATTACTTTTTCGTTATTTCATTTTTTTATAACAATTAAAAATTAAACTAATGGGTGCTTAGATATTATACTTGCAGCTTTCCCGAAAATTCTGTTCGTTGCAGCATTTCTTCTACTATTGTCATTTTGGTAAGTTTTCTCTCTTCTAAAGAAATGAAATTTGTGTATTGGATTAGAAATCAATAAAAATCACGGATATATTCAAAAAATGCCACCTAACTTTCAAGATGGAAGTTACCCTATAAGTCGATTCTAATGAACAATTCATGAATAGGAATGAAAAATCCAAAAATTCTGTACAATTTTGAAAAACGGAAAGATCCCTCTGATCTAATCATTCCATTATATTGACAAAGGCATTTTTTTCCTCAATTTGATCCTAAAAAAAATTACACCCTATTTTTGTTCTTAAATCTAGACGATTGCTTATTGATAAGTTATCTGGAATAACAGTCTTATTAAGTAGTTTGTTGCATAACTATATACAGAAACCGAACTCCTGAACGCCTTGAAGAAATTTACTAGTCTCATGAAATTAAAGTAAGCCTCACTCATAAAAAAAATTGATTTTTTTGCAGGGTTGATCTTTGTCATCAGCCAAGTGATGATGAAGAAGATGAAGGATGTAGCACACACGAAGCACTTCTGGAGAAGATTAATAAAACTTCTTCTAACTCTAATGGTCAGCGAAGGTGTTGCACATTTAAGTTGCATAGGATAGGAAGTCGCCAAAAAATTGTGATTCTGGTAAAAGATTTTATATATTATTCATTATGGTAATTTTTTTAATTAATTGAATTTCTTTATTAACTATCTAAGGTAAAAATAAAATAAAATAAAATAAAAATTCTCCAGGTCACTGTTTTAGTTTTTGCAATAATGATAGCGTCCTCCGTGTTGATATGGATTGGCATGGAAAAGGGTCCTATCAGTTCTGCAATCGTTGCTCAGGCATGTATTCTTGACTTCTTTTTTTTTTTTGCTCGAAAGTGAAGATTAAATGCATTTGTAAGTAACACAAAAATTATTGCCTTGAATATTAAAAGCTATACATGACAGATTTAGCACTAAGCTACTTAATGTTCAACAATTCTGTTGATACTTGCTCGTCATTGCATTGAATTGGTCTATGCTAATGATTATACTTGGATTTTACATTCTTATGCTTATAAGTATTATATACAAGGCTCTGTTTGGCCAAACAAAGGGGCACTAAGCTGGTTCAATTTCATCATTTTAGAGATGGCTTTTTGCTTCACATGATATAAGTTGTGATATCCAATTCTTCAAAATGATCTTTTGGATTAATTTGTGACGACTATCAAATTCACCGTTCAATAAATTTGTGAAAATTTAAATTGATTTACTAACTTGCAGGTATATGTGGATTTCATTTCCGTAATTGCTCTGTTGCTTGGAGGAGCCTTGGCATGTTACGGTTAGCATCCATAGTAGAATATGTGGTTTTTTCATTATTTGGCGTTTTTACCAAAGCTCCTACTAATTAATTTGTGGCGTTTTTATATATCTGCTGCTAAAAGATGATTGTTTTTTNNCTATCGAATTCAGGACTTTCGTTGTTCTTGAAAATGAGAAAAGTGAGAGCCGATCGAGCTTCCTGGGAAAGGTGGAAGGTAGGCACTTAGTTTCACTATGGTGTGTTATAAACTATAATTATTATTTTGTTTCATTTTGGTTAAGAACGTACTGAAATTACATTTTTTCTGATATCAATATTTTCTTAATTATTTTAAATCTATTGCCACCGGTTTATATTTGTATACTATCTCATCAAAATAATATTTGTCATGCCACATAGGTTGCTGGTTTGGCCATTGTATGTGTCGTAAGCTTCACATCAAGTGCTTCTATTGCAATCGGCACAAATATACCTGTAAGTACTTTTTGGTGGTTTATTGTATTATTTTTTCCAATTTTCGTTTTCCGATAAATAGTATCTGAAAGATATATATTTCGTGTTTTGCAGCTGCTTTATAGCTGGCGTGAAAAACAGATCGATGGTGTCTACAGCTCCCTTTTGCTGTTTTTTTATTATTTCATAGGTAATATTATCAACATATTTTCATTTATAGCAGAAACTAACCCCGAGTTTTTTCCTAAATTACAATAAATCTATTTGGCTTTCAAAATTACAAGTGCATATTGCACCCTCAAGTCAGGAGGAATGGTTTTGTTCACAAGAGGAATGTTTTTAGTAGTGCTTAAAAATAAAATACTTCTCCAATTATAACATTGGATTCTTTCCAATTTAGGAGAAAAACTCTGTCCGGAGACGATCTCATGAAATTTAATAAAATTTACCTCAATTCTTGCAGGTTCGTCAGTGCCATCAGCCTTCATTTTACTTGTGATGAGAGAATTACCAGCTCGTGTCTCGATTAATCGGCCACAAGAATCGGAAACAACCATAACATTCATATCCGATGGTTCGAGCTCAGCTCATTATCATCCGCCACGTTGGACGGATATAGCTAGTGTTCAAAATCAGGTTGCAATTCTTTTTTGTCTATCGATTTTGATTTCGAAGGTTACTACAATTTGAGGTTAATTACTAAAGTACCCTTAGGCCACGATTGGTTACATAATAGCATTGTTTTAACTCAAAATATATAATTAAATAATATCAATTAATCATTCTCACACATCTCATCAATTTTAATTCACTATTCATCTACTCCCATAATTTTAACTATTCATCACTTTTAATTGCTCCTCTCCTACTTTTACATAAATTAATTTTAATTACTATATTTTAAATATTATTTTAATACAAATTCAAAATCACACTCAAACCTATCCCAGTTTTCTTTTTTTTAAAAAAAAAAAAAATAACTATGGTTATCCAACAAATCAACTGAGTATTGTAAAATTCGATTATTCTTTATTTCGAATATGGATGAAATCTTTATTTTATTAGCTTGTAAATTTAGTTTGAATTTTGATGAATGCAGGTATCAAGAGCAAGTCCCATATGAAATCGATCGGTCGAAACGTGGATACGTGATTTAGAACTGTGACTAGGAAGGAACATCAGATGAATGCTACTTATTCAGCCATGAAGATGAGATTGAGCTAAGATAACAAGCTTTAGGACATTCACTTTCAAAAAATTACAGCTGAAAAGACAGCTTGCCTGTGTGCTTATTTTCTTGATCAACTCATTTTTATGCTTCACCTATGGGAAAAAATAGCATTCTATTTTTATGCTTCAGCTATGGGAAGAAGAAAATAATAATAATAATAATAATAATAATAATAATAATAATAATAATAATAATAATAAAGTCTATGTTCATCACTGTTGAACCATGTCCCCATGTTTGTGTGTAGTATTGGTTTCACCAAACAGAGGTAACAATCAGTTGACAAGAATGCAACTACAGGAAACTTACACTGATTTCATGGTTGGTGAAGACGTGTAAGTGATCAATATTGTTGATATTTTGATACCTATTAGATGGAACAAGACAATAAAAGATAATGGGGATGAAAATAAGAAAAATACATGACGAGATTATTTTGGAACGAAGAGGAGAATAATGTGGAATTGTGTAATCATCCAAGACAGTTTGGCCGAGTGGTCTAAGGCGCCAGATTTAGGCTCTGGTCCGAAAGGGCGTGGGTTCAAATCCCACAGCTGTCAAATTAAATTTTTACTTTCCTATTTTTATTTTTTAGTTTTGTCGGGCCATTATGAAAGTGTGGAACATTATTCAATATTATGTTGTTTTTTTCACTTGACAATCATCTATTACACGAGGAACTCTTTTTGTTAACTTCCCTCTAAACATATTATTAACAAAATGCTGTCCTTATTAAACAAACCCATAATACTTCAAAGAAACTTCAGATTTTCATAATGGGAATAAAATGCACTGCTCGTGAGTACGATTTAGCTCGACACATTAAGATTGAACCTTATGTTAGTGCGTCCAGCTCGTTCAATTTAGCTCGACACATTAAGATTCAATCTTATGTTAATGCATCGAGCTCGTTCAAGCTAAAAAATATGGATATGTATATATATTTTTTTTAGCTTAGCTAGTTATAGTTTGAGTTCTACTTGAACTCTACAAATATTGACAAACGACTTAAATTTGTACACAAAATAACTTAGCTCAACTATTTACTCTATTAGTATGTGATAATAACTTACAAAAAAATACCTAAAACCAAAATAACAATAAATAACTAAAAATGAAAATTGTACACAGATTACCATTCATCTCCGATCCAACCATCTATCTATTCCACCGGCGGATCATTCCCCAAGAACTCATCAATGGTGGACGGGAACACAAACCCTCCAAAACCACCGCACTCATCATAATCACCCGATTGCACAAAGCTCGCCTTGCCCAAAAGCAAATGCACTAATCCAAACGGCTCCTTAATCTCACCCTCCATACACCACCTAATCCACCCCTCCAACCTCTCGGACTCCTCCGCACTCTTCGGCCCCTTCGCGCCCACAATCTTCCTGCAAAACCAATCGTCACAGCCCACGTCACAAGCCCCTTCCTTCTCGCCAGTCTCCGACAGGCGCAATAGCTGCATCAGGCGATCGATATCGTGGTCAAGACTCGATTTTTCGGCCGGGCCGGCTGTTTTGTCGACGTCCGGTTGGTTGTCGTGGTGAGGTGGGTCGGAGGATTCCGACAGGAATTCGTGTGGGGCTTCGCTGTCTTGGGGGTTTGTGCTGGCGGCGGGGATGGGGTTGATGTAGATTGGGGTGCCGAGGGATTCTGATTGCGGCGCGGTGGTGATGGGATCTGTGGCCGCCGCCGCCGGCAGCGGCGGCGGTGGAGGTGGAGATGCGGCGGGTGGTGGATGGTGGTGGTTCTCGAGCTTTAGTCTTTTCTCGAGTTGTTTGAGTGAGGTGAAGAATTGCCGGTGGGGTTGCATAGCTTTTGATTTTGAGGAATGGGACTGAATGAAATTCAACAGTTGGGGAGATTTTAGGGTTTTCCGATTGATTGAGGTACACATTATTGACGATGGATGGATTTTGGGGGAAATTTTAGAATTTGAACGACTTCTAAAACGTCACCGTTTGACATGGGTATTTGGTTCGTCAGCCCCGTGCAGCTCGACCTTTTAAAATCCTCGCCAAAATGTAAAAAAAAATCACATGTTTCCATTATATCAGATTCATTTACACCTCACCACCACATGCCATCATCAATTTCAACATCAAACTACAACCCAAAACTAAAACTCTCACTTTCGCGGTACAAAGTTCGTTGCATAAGCCCAAGCATTGTTGTTAACCGGGTCGGCAAGATGATCCGCAAGATTCTCCAACACCCGTCACAATCGCCTGCACAAAGAACCCGAACATCGAAAACATCGCAAGCCTCCCGTTTTTCAACTCCTTCACTTTAAGCTCCGCAAAGGCTTCCGGGTCATCCGCCAGGCCCAACGGGTCGAAACTCCAGCCCGGATACAACGGGTCGGCCACCTCGCCCAACGGCCCGCCCGCGACCCGGTAGCCCTCTACAGCCCCCATCAACACAACTTGCACGGCCCAAATGGCCAATATGCTCTGTGCCTGTGCGTGGACCAAACTCGGGTTACCCAAATAATCGAGCCCACCTTCACTAAATATTTGAGACCCAGCCTTGAAGCACACGGCCTTGCCGAATTTGACTCCTTATTTGTAGGTTATCTTGTGATATCTGATCTGTTTTCTGATTGGGGTTTGAGGTTTTTTGGTGTAGGTGGGGGTTGTGCTTAGTTGGCAAATTCTAGTTCCATCAAATTTTGGATCAAGAGAGTTGGGAATGGCTAATTGGATTTAAATTATTTTGAATTTGATTAGATTTGTTGGATAAAGTGAGTTAATTTGTAAAAAAGAAAAAATGAATGAGTTTGGTTTGAATGTGATTCTGAATTTGAATTTAAATGTTTATAAAAATATATGATGTTACAATAGGAAAGATACAATTGTAAGCGACGAGTAATTAAAATTATGTGAATAAATGAATAGTGAATTAAAGTTTGTGTGATGTGTAAGATGATTAAGTGATACTAGTGCGTGGCCCATGCGATGCACAAGGAAACAATATTACGATTGTATTATAAATTAAATATATAAATAACATTAATCATGATTCACTCATTGTTTTTTAATTAAATCGGGTTGGAGACAGTCCGGCCGGATGGACCGAGAACCGATTTATAATCAGTCTACTTGCTTGTATAAAATATTTGCTATCGAATCTGTCAACACCAGTCGGTTTAACTGGTAGGACCGATATCGATTTTCTAAATAAATTTGGTTACATTTAAATTATTATAAATAAAATTACATATTTAAATAAAATAGAGATTTATAAACTCTTTATCGATTAGTTTAAATATTTGAATTTATAAATTATTTAGATATTTAAGTATTTTCATTTATTTAAACTTAATACAAAAAGTATTATATATATTAAAATATTTATAAATTAAAATCTAAACAAACCACAAATAATTTAATAAAATAACTTGATCGTTTCGATGATGGTCCGGTTCTGAAAACCTTATATTTACTGTATATTAATAAAAATTATAATAAAATATTATTTTATTTACAAAATCATTAATGAAAAGATATATAAATATTTATAAATTATTAAGCATGTTGTCATAAAAATATTGTTATAATTAATATGATTATTTGAAGTTTGGACTACATCACATTCACGTAATAAAGTATTTTCAATATTAAAATATTTTATGATTCATATAATAAATGTCTACACCAAATGATAGTATATTAAGATTATAAATTATATATCTAAAGATGAATTAATTATTTTTACTTTATGCATATTAATAAAAAATGCCTCTCCTTTTAGTCGAGCATATGTTATAACCTCTCGCGTGGAGCTCGACTTCAAGGAGAGCAAAGACCCAAAGATTAATTACTTTTACTTTATGCATATTAATAAAAAGATAAACATAGTAATTTTTAAAAAATTAAGATCAATTGATTGATTATGCATTTTAAAGAATATGTGTATTTTCAAGGAATAAATTCCTTCATATGAGGGATTTTGTTTCTTTAAACTATCCAAATTCATATTCATATCGGCAATTTGAAATTTTGAATTACAATAGAACACGACACTAACAAAGTATCCTTTAACAAATAAATCAGATTCAATTTAAGATTTATTAGTTTTAAAAATAATAAAATCATTAATTTAGGCAATGATATGTGATACATATATCTAAGTCTATTTACATAATGTTTTACCATTAAACCATTGGCAATTTAAATGAGAAAACTAAATTTAAACAAAGAAAATAAAAATTTTCATCAATTTATAATAAATGTTGCCGTGTTTAATTTTTTGTTAACAAATAATTTATTTTTATTAACAAATGAAAGCTGCCGATCAAAACAAATGCATTTGCCATTTTTCTGTTAAAAAAAAGAAAAGAAAGAAATGCGCTCGAATTTATTCGATAACAGCCTTAGAAATTTGACAAAAGAACCAATAATTTATTTCCGACGAAGTAATCGCACTGTATATTTGTGTATCCTAATAAAAAATTCTTACTGCTTGCGAAACTGAGTGATATGGCCGTGGCAACGATTTTTTATTTAATTAGCCGAATCTTTTTTTATTTAAAAACACAAAACTGTCAAATTTTATGTGGTTTGTTAGTCCTATTTCTGTTGCGTTTTTCCTTGTTATTTTTCCTTTATTTTTCCCCATATTAGGTCTTTAAGTTAGTTTTTATCTTGTTTTGTAGTTTATCACGTGTTTTACTCTATCTTCGTTTTTCTTGTGTTTTCCGTATGTTTTTCCAGTTTTTTCTTCGTTTATGGTGTGTAGGTCGAAAGCTTCGGGAAAATCAAATTTTTGGAAAAAGTCAGCCGGGAAAGAATAAGTAGATAGAAGAGTTCGTCGGCGTCACACAGGAAAAACCGGAACTCAATTCTGAGTTCAGACGAATCCGAACGGGGCCGAAACGTAAAGTTCAGCAAGCTGCTGACCGTTTGAAGGTTGGAAAACTCTAGAGGAATGTACTATTGACGAAATCTGGTCATGAAAGCATCGTTGAATAGAGGGGTTCGTTAGCGACGCATAGAAAAAAACGGAACTCAATTCCGAGTTCGGACGAGCCCAAACGAGCCCAAAACGCAAAAGTCACGCAGCCGAGCCAGCAGCCACGCGCGCCGCGGCGCGGCAACCCTCAGCGGCACGGCAATGCCTTCCTCCGCGCCGCGGCAACCCTTCACGGGCCCTCAGAAGCTGCCAAGCATGCCCCCACGCCGTGGCACTTTCCCGCGCCGCGGCAACTTTATACTCCACGCCCTGTACCACGCCGCGGGCGCCTCCACGGGCGTTCAGAGACCGCACACTTGCCCGCTCCACGCCGCGACACATGCGCATCTCACGCCGCGCTGCATTTCCTCACGCCGTGTCACCTGCTAGGCTATATATATAGGATCGGGATTGCGATTAAAATTATCTCCCCTCCTGGGAGTGAAACCCTAGGCCTGAGAAAAAACACGACAACTCATTTTCTCCTTCTTTTTCCCTTCTTCTTCTTCATTTTTCCTCCTCTTTCTACCTTTCTTTTCCATTTGTCTTCTTCTTCTTCTTGGTTTCAAGGATTGAGCTTGTAATTCATATTCAACACTTGGATTTGGGATTATTTGTAAGTTTTTCCATCTTGTTTAATTCATGAGAATGATTATTTAGGGTGAAATGCTTGATTGTGTTGAATTCATGTTACGTAGCTAATTCCTTCTGCTAGGGATAGGGGATGATTATTCTTGTTTAGTTCGTAATAGTTCGGCTTTCATTTGTTCATGCTTGTGCGAGTTGCTTTAATTAGGGTTGATTAATTCTTGCTTAATAATTTGATATAATCGAAGAGTGACACTTCGATCTCGCAATTGGTATCAATTGAATGTTAACTTGTCGAGTTAGGGTTTATTGATTCTACATGATTAGTTGATTAAATACCTTCTAATTGAATTAGCGATTTTTAGAACAGAAGGAGAGAAGTCGTAGACCTAGGCTCGCATGAGATAGATGATTTCGTAACTGAATAATCTGTGGGTTTTGTATTGAAATACATGTTTGTCGGTGTCTTGTCCCTTGTTAGGAAAAGTTATTGGGATTGGATAATTGGCCGGTATTGTATGCTCCAACTTGCTCGTCTATGTTCAATTCCTTGTTACGAAGAGTTATTGGGAGCGAACCGCTAGATGTTTAAGCGAGAGTGTCAATCTCGAACCGAACAATTGATTGCCCGGTTTTGCTAAGAACTTGAATAAATTATCCCCGATTCCCTAGTTTCTCCATCTTTGTTCCGTTTATATTTTTAGGTAGATTATTGTTTTATTTTATTTCTTAGTTAATAATTCATCCAATCTGCTATCTGATTAGAGTGTTTAGGATTTAATTTCTCTTTTTTTGTGTGAAATCAATACCGAAGCTAAATTCCGAACCGCCTTCCTTGAGAGATCGACCCGAGGAACGAATCCTTCGATTCGGTACTCGGTAAAAATAATAATTTGTGTTACAACATGGTCAGCCGAATCTTTCCCGATAATGTGGTCATTAGTGTAACAAACTCCACATGGTAAGGATTGCATTTAATGTTGTCCGTGTTCTTAAATTAAAAATAAAAAAAAATTGTCATTAATAGAAAATAATTAATGCTAAGCATCTTTGACCATAGAATTGACCTGCCATTTTTAAAAAATGGTATTTCTTATTATATATATATAGATTATTTAATTATATTAAAATTATGTGAGATGATAAATCTATATATATATATATAATAATAATATGAATTATCATTTACCAAAAATAGTAGCAAAAAAATAGGTCAGAATTAATGCAGCCTATATATAGTAAGTTTTATTACTTTTCTTATTTTTTTTCTTTAAAAATCATACATCATTAAATGCTACCTTAAATTTCGGGCTTTAGTTCATTTTATTATTTAAAAAATCCGGCTAAGATTTATTAAGTGTGTATGTTTTTATTTTTATTCTTTAAATTGCATAATCAATCAATTAATTTTAATTTTTTTGAAAATTACTATGTTTATTTTTATTAATATGCATAAAGTAAAAATAATTAATTCATCTTTAGATATATAATTTATAATTTTAATATACTTCATTTGGTGTAGACATTTGTTATATGAATCATAAAATATTTTTATTTCATAAAATTAAATATATTTAAAGAAAATAAGAAAATTTCTTCGGATCAATCGGGTGATTGACTTATGGTACTGCCCATGTTGATTGAATTACTTTTAGGTGATATTTAAAATAGTCAAAAAACTTGACACAACTTGGTTGGTCCCAGGTGACTAAGTTATGTATCAGTTTGACCACACCAAATCGATTATTGAACCTAAATATAAATTTTATATTGAAAATATGTTATTACGTGAATGTGATGTAGTCCAAATTTCAAATAATCGTATTAACAATACTTTTATGACAACATATTTAATTATTTAAGAATATTTATGCTATCATTTCAAATATATCTATTTGTTTTCCTTCCATGGTATGATCAGCAGCCCCGTTTTCGTTCTTGCCTGTTTTCACGGAAAAGAAAGTTCCATTGGCACTGTTTTTTCTATACTGAATTATTAATACCCTATAGTTTTGTTGCTAATTTTAATTTTTGATACCTATTGTACCTTTTGTTAGGTTAATTAATTTCGTTTCTTGTTAATTTTACTTTTTTTGTGTCTATTATTTGAACGGGACATAACTAGTGGTTCTATAACTTAAATTTAAATGTTCCATAATATCCATTTCGTCTTGTGCTTTCTTCCGGTCTGAGAAAATTAGAAACACACAATAAAGGGGGACAAAAACGTACAAGCTTCGATATGTCGAATCTCAATTAGAAAAGACGAAAAGAAATACAAAAACACAAAAAAATGAACGAATGGAACGATTGATGAGAGATTTGAACGAGGACAACAACCATGGCGCTTAACTATAATAAATTAACAAATTAATTTGATCGATTAGTTGTTACTTTTACTAATTGGTCGAGTATAATTAATTAACAAGTTAATTTGACCGATTAGTCATTTGGCTCGATTATTCAGCCAACTAACGAATTAATTTGACTGATAGTTGTTACTTTGATTAATCGATGGGATCGACCAGCCTAATCCACACAAGGATTTCTAGATTATGTAATCACACACACTTAACTTGTTTACTGTAGCATTCACAAACCTTTTTTGTCCTCAGAAAAATTCCTTTTCTTCATAAAATTAAAAACCCATTTCAACAATCCTGCATGAAAATAACTTAAGGAAACTGTCATACATTGCATAAACAAACCTTTTTTTCCCTCAACACTAAATTATATATTTCCTGAGAAAAAAAATAAAAAAAAATAAAAACAGCAAACTACACTCATTCATCAGCTACAAGACCAACTTTCCCAGCTTGCTCACAATCCAATCTGCTTTTCTCCTCCTTCATCTTCAATTCATCCAAGTAATGTTGATAAACATACGAAACGAACCCCCACAAGGCCAGCAACATAGCCACGGACTTCAAGCCCGTCATCTTATCCTTCAAGAAAATCACGGCTAGCACCGGGGCCACGGGCAGGCCCAAAATACTAATCACGTTCGAAAACAACGACGACACCTTGAAAACCAGCCCAACACAGCCCACTCCAAACGTGGCCCAACAAACCGAAGTCCCAACCAAGTTCATAACATACGAAACCTCTCCCGATTTATAACCCCTCATCTCCCGACCCAACTTCTCCCAATCCCCACTCGCGAAAACCCCGATTATCACCACAAAACTCGCCACCAAATTCTGATAAATCGTCAGCTCGATCACTGCATTGATCGTCTCTTTCTTGATGATCTTATGAAAAGCGAGCTGCGTTAGGGAAAGCATTAGCGCGTAACCTGCGGAGCCACCCAACGTGCATAAAAACCCGATCGCATACTTTTTTTCCGAGACTTTGTTCGAGTCTCCGGGATCGGTTTGAAAAACGAGGAGCACGGATGAAATCGTTAGCAAAACTAAGGAATTCACAATGTACGGAGTGAATTTTTGTTTGTTGAGGAAAAACGAGAAAAGGGCATTGAAACCCAACTGGCTAGCGCAGATTAGAGTATAGGTCGTGACCGGGAGATATTGAAGGCCTATCGAGTAAAGCAAGCAATCGACAGCAACAAAAATGCCGATTGCTACGTAAAATACGGCTAGGGCTAAAGGGAACGGTTTTTTAACCGTGTTTGTTTGAATTTGGTTGTTGGATTTTTTCTTGGATGTGAGCCATTGGAAAGGGATGAGAATCGGGAAGCCGATGACTTGGACTAATGTGGCCATCCATTCACTTTTACCGCCATTGTTAAAATACACCCGGCCCAATATAGTGCCCACGGATTGTCCGGCGAGGACGAAAAACGAGTAGATTATCATTTGGATCCACCATTTGTATTGTCTAAGGAAGGGGATTGTTAAGGATGTCTTGTTGTTGGTTTCGGTGTTCTCTTCCGGTGAGTTTTTCGCAGTGGGATTCAAAACTAGTGAAACAACATAAACAATAAACAATATGTAAGAAACTGAAGAAAAATAGGTGCGGTCCCACTAACATGAAGTTAGTACTAAAATCAATTGGTAGAAGGAGGAGTAGCCCATTAGACTTATAAGGTGGGTCTATTTTTCATGGACGATGTGGATAACTCACAAGTGATATTCTAACACAATATAAGTAAATATCATTGTGAAACTGAAGGAAGAAGACTTTTAGAAATAATTAAACACATGAAACTAGTTCGTGGTAGTATAAAGATCAATTGAAATGTGAAACAGAGGAAATTTAACATGAAATTTCTTGTTGGTTTCGATGTTTTTCGTTGAGTTTTTCGCGGTGGATTTCGAAACTAGTGAAACAACATACGTAAAAAACATTATGAAAATGAAGGGAAAATTAGAAATAATTGAACACGTGAAACTATTTCGTGGTAGTATAAAGATGAATCCAAAATTTAACATGAATATTCTTGTGGGTTTCGTTGTTTTCCGGTGAGTTTTTCCGTGGTGGGTTTCGAAATTAGTGAAACAACAAAAAACAATATAGGTAAAAATTCATTATGAGACTGAAGGGACATAATTAAACACATGAAAGTATAAAGATGAACCGAAACAGAGGAAATTTAACATGAAAATCCTTATCTCACCATTGATGTCAGTCTGCAGCTCAACAGCTCCTACCATGGCGAAACAAAAATACTTCAAGCAATATATCAAGAAAATTTAGGACCTGAAATGTTTAACTGAGTTTGAGTTGAGTGGAGTAGTAAATTCAGATATGAATTCATTTATAACCAGATCAGGCTTCAAAAGGACCCTGACCTTTCCAAACCTATGTTGATATTTTCAAGACTTACGTAATGAAATGAAATCCCAACACGCTTTCAGTTTCATATACACGGGTGGACATATCTTAATATGTCACGGTAAAGGTGAAAATTTCATGAGTTCATAGTTTTTAAATCAGGATCGGCCCATTGGGTCGACCCAAAGTCTGGGTTGATGTTTTGGATTCGATCAAACCCACTTAATCAAGCCTTGACCCAATTGACCCAATATTATTTTTTACAACTTATACAAAATATTTATTTTTTTTACTTTTATGTATATTTATATGATAAAAAATACTATACATATAACTTTAAAATTAAAATTAATTACCCAGTTCAACAATTGACCTGGTAATTATGCGATTGAACCGGTGACCGCGGACTTGCCCAGAGTCAATTTCAGGTCCGATTTAAAACCTATGCCTAAGTCTAGTTGTGTACTGAAAAATTAAAGTCAATTGAAAAGTGGGCTTCTTATTATTGAAAGAAATCAAGTCAAATTGTGAGCAACGACTTTTGTGGTAATCTCTATTGAAATAGAGTGGGCATAAAGATGGTTTTGTTCGTATGGTGTGAAACAAACTGGGATTGATTCTTGTTGGCTTGTGATTCAATAATTTAGCTCGCAATGTTGACATTTCAATTGTTCTGTTGCTAAGACAAGTTGTACAACACTAAAAACCAAAAATGGATTGAAAAGATAATGCTGGTGGATTGGGGACCGCAAAATTTTTATTACTATTTTTTTTTTTTGGACCGGAAAATTAAGTTGATCGCCTGAGATTTGAGTTGTATACTTGTACATGTTTTTGGCACAGCACATAGAATGAAGCCAACATAACATGTCCTTACGAAATACTTGTGATTGGATATGTATTTGATTTGATTTGAACGAAGAAGACGATAAATTCCAGCGAGAAGAAGACCAGCGATTTCCTTAGTGACCGAGAAAGGGCAATCAGAAAAGACTCATTCCGGGAAGGACAACCGGAGAAGACTCGTTCTCATATTCAGCCTGTTTGTAACTTATTTTTTATTTATTTATTTATTAACTGATATATATTTTAATCTCTTTTATTTTAGCTTGGAGTTTTACCTTAATTTGGATGAATAGTAGCAAATTTGGAATCTTATGCGCCATATAATTACCCATCTTTATGGTTAAAAATTTATTGCTCCATACTTGGTTGATCCATCAACTACGTTTTGGCTTTGACCATATAAAATAAACACATGCTATATACTAAAAATTGAGCCCAGCTCTAAAAATTGAAAGAAAAAAAAAAAATGATAAAAACATAAAAATGGAATATAAACAAAAATGCTTCAAATATCCAATGGCAAAACTGGGTATGTATACACATTTCTGCTACTATATCCGGTAAACAGCAGTTGATGGAATCGCCTAAAATGCCCCCACTAATAAGCATATCTCTTTGCCAACGGCATTCACAGCTTTGCATTCTGAAGAATAAAATGTTATGAACATAACAATATGGGAGCGCTAATTGTATGCCTACATGATAACAGTCTTAAACTAGGCACTTCTTACAGAAGTTTGAAAAGTCAGATGAAAAAATTATCTGTTTCGGTTTTTAAGATGTGATCATGCGATTAGGAACAGGTTAAAACAGAATTCAAAGTCTTCATGAAAATGAACCTTCGAGTTGCAGTTCAAAGCTTTCAATCTTGTATAAATTGATTATATACCATAAAATATCAGAGAGTGAAAATAAGAAGCTTTACTTGTTAATGAGAGATCTGAAGAAGAATGAACGAAGTAAAATACAAGCAGGCACAGATTGCAACTCCAGCAATAAAATTGTGCAACAGCCTCTGGTTATCTCTTGTGGGGACAAAAGCCAACTTCAATGTGTTTGTCAGCTCAAAAAGTCGATATGATATCTGCATTCAGAGAGAGAGAGAGAGAGAGAGAGAAGTTAACTAATGATATCTAGGCAGGCAAGTAGAATCGAGTTTTGACACCTGGTAATTAAATTTCAGATGAAAAATAGGGAGTGTTTTTACTTTTTACTCACCAAGGTGTAAATGGCTGTTGTGAGCATGAAATTAAGCAAAGGATACTGTGGAATGAAACAGAGCAGCCACTTGGGCTGTCCATTGGGCTTATTTGTTCTGCACAAATGACCATATAATGTTAAAAGAGTGTTGAATTGAAACGAATTCAAATAACTAGGCATAAATCGTGGACCAACAAGAATTAGCTGAAATAAATACCTCAGCCATATGTGGAATTGGGAGATGTAGGTTTCCAAAGTTATTTTGCCAAGCCACCTGGTAAACAAAGAGAGTTTGCATGTAAGTTCAGCCGAAAAGATAGTATCCAAACTGCTAATGCTTATTAGGTCCCAAAAAAATATTAATAAAATAAACAGAAAACTTACGCAAAGAGGGTCAAAGAAAAATTACGAAGTTCCTGACTGAAGTTACGTAAGCAAATATAGACCCTGAAAGAAAAATGTATAGAGAAGAAACATGAGAAAATCGATACTAAGAAGAAAAAAATATACAAAATAGAACTATTGCGAAAAGAGGAAAGTTCTTACATTAGAGATAACAAGATAAATCAACAGAAAAGAAAAATATACAAAATAGAATGACAAAAATCGATACGTACGTTATGGGGATCCACGATGTGTAAGGATGGAGCTTGTTGTATGCAACTTTGTCCAGCTTGTATATGTATTCATACCACAAATACCCTACCTAAGGCCAGAGAATGAGTCAAACAACAATCTCTATCAAATGAATAATGAGAATGAAAATCTATATCTGGACAGATAACTGTCTAAAATTAGGTAACTCACAACTAAAGCGATTGTGGCAATAGATGTTTTTATTGTGCGCCTCCGCTTGGCCTCAGCTTCTTCCAATTTCTCCATCAACTTCTCAACCTGCAACGATAAAAGCAAATGAGATCACAAGTTCATAAAAATGATATATATATATATATAACACTAACTCAATAATTGTAGATGTTACATTTGGGTGAAAGTAAGCATAGATCATTCCAACAATCCATATGTATCGATCGAGTCCTGATCTAAAATGCCATTCATGTAGCCGTGGAAGGTCTGGTTTTCCCGGGTCACTATACCCTGTCATTAAATTAAACAATTTATCGTGATTCAAGTTTCTCAAGAGTGATTAAATAATAAGCAGATAATATTGCTTCAATAAAACAAGTTACAAATGGTTACGCACCTAACAAGAAAGTGAGAGGACTCCACAAAATTTCGAAAACACCCGGAATTTCCCACACCAATATCACAACAAAAAAGCACATAAAGATTTTCAGAGCCATCACCGATCTTATCTCGTTATAATTGTAACCTATACCAAGGGCTCCATAGACCATGAGTGTAAAGAGAGTATGCATAGGGCAGATATAGTATAGCATGTAGTCGTTGTTAAGAACGAAACAGCAGAATGCCACGAAAAAATTTAGCCTCCACATCATCTGCACAGAGAATACAATCGAAGTTAAAATACCGCCAACAAAACAAAAGCAGTAGTAGATGCCACTTCTTCACCAATACAAGTCAAAATTCATGGGCATTCACTCCGAATTTTTATTCTCACCTGAGCAAATCGAGCAAGACTGAAATCTTTACGGATGTAGTAGTAAGAGAAGTTTCCAAAACCAGTCATCCAAACATATGCAGCTATAAAAACACGAATTGCATTGTAGATCTCTGATGCGGCAAAGTAATGGTACATCAAAAACAAGACCTATCAAATATAATGAGAAATATTTTTCAGAAAATTTCCAAGAAAAATTAAGGAAGCTTTCTCAATTTTAAGCTTTAAATCAATCCAGATGCTTGATACAATAATGGTCAAACCAATAAAATATAAATAGCATAAGAAAATTTGGGAAAAGGATGACCAAATTGCTTGCCTGCATATATCCTTTCCACTCTTCAGTCTGATGCCGGTTCAGATATAGGATGGATTTCCCCGAAAATGCAGACTTGTCGTTATGTTTCTTGAAAGAAGTCATTGCCGAAACTATGATAAGGAGAATGTAGAGGAAGAGGAATAGATCGCGGTTGTAGCTCTGGCAACAGGGAATAAAAAACGGAAAACAAATTAATTAGAGAGAAATGGTAGCCAATTACTATAACGGAAGCAAAGATATGCAGATTGTTTTAACCAATGTTGATGCCTCTTCCATATCAAGAAATTACACGGGCAGCATAACTAACAGAGGAAATGAATCATGTAAAATAGAAAGAAAAAACAGCTTCATTTTCCTTACGAACGAGAGGAAAATTCATGATTACATATTAATTCATTAACAACAACAACAAATATACAAATATCAAATATGAGACAGAGATTGCCTTTCAAGCTTTGCTAGTCAAGAAAACAAATATACAAAAGAAATTGTAGTGTTTAACTAATTAAAAGGAAAAACTAGAGATGAAACAAATTTCAAAAAACTGATAAATGAAGTAGTACCTTGTTTGAATCCGCAAAAACATTTGTGCGGTCGCATAAGTAGAAATAGAACAAAATCCATCCAAACTCAGCCCTGCGTAAAGATTGTAACACCATGACTAAGACAGAAATTTCTCCCATCAAACAGCAATTAGCAAATAAAATTTAAAACCCACATTGCCCTTAAAAGTTGCCGATTTTCCAGCAAAAATGAGTCCTCCATTGACAAAAACCTAGACCAACAAAGCAAACAGATCAGAAACAATTTCATAATTGTCATAAATAAAGCAACAAAATTCAATTACAAACATTATATATTAGATGGACCTGATTATGTTTGTTTTAATAGAAGGACTGGTAAACTTTGTAGATGATAAAGATTTTGTAAGACCCCCTTCCATCAAAGCAGCCCGATCATCATCCTTGATTGTGTCACTTTCTAGTTCAGCCAAATTATTATCTGAGTGGCTGCTACCAGGAAATTAAAGCATAATGGGTAAGCTATTGAAATGGGGTGATACATAGATGTATAATACATATGCATGTATTCTCCTTCATTTTCAAAGGGCTTTAAGTGAATAGCTTAGCAGAAGAAGAATATTGCCAAGCCCGAAAAACTTCAATATATATGGTATCCAAAATTAGGGAGCTGATAAAAGAAGTGGAAGAATGCTCACACTTTTGAAAGGGACGATGACCTCTTATACTCCAACCATTCGGAGTATATCCAAGCCACAATGACTGGAATGACCCCAAGCAAAAACGACACCTAAGAATCATAAGTGAACCGGTAGCATATTATATATCGAATAATTATGTTAGTTCACTTTCACCATGTATGAAATCGAAACTGAAAGTGTGATCAAACCCGCATAAACAAGATATGCATCTTCAATACTAAAACACTGAATCTGCAACTACTCAAGGATTAATCAAATGATTACGATGATGATCCTACAGTTACATCCAATCACTACCAACCAAAACCTTTGCATACACTACATCAGATCCCATGCTTTATCATCGACCGATTTTATGAATATTGAAATTTCACTATCACTTCCATGTATAACTCTCCATGTCTAATAAAATATGTATTTTAACTTCAGATCGTGCTACTCACTCTAATCAAATTCAACTGGCTCATAACAAAAGTCTTGATCATTTCATTCCAAACCCCTTGAAATCATTAGAGAAACAATCGCCCGACTACTACTAAACGATCGAGTCAAAATGATCGGCATGCAAAAGAAAAACCAAAGAACGATACCAAATTCCACAGTACCACCATCCCAACAACACCCCAAGAAACACATCTCAGTAAGCACAAGCAAATTCAATGAGGAGTAAGCAGAAAATCAACATATACAAACACAATCGAAGATCTACATCGAGTTCACACTACACTAGTCAAATAAGCTAGTGAATAAGAAATCAAAAGAAGGCAATAACACAGAACACATCCACATTCCCAGCAGATGCTAGAAACAACTACTATAGAACACCAAACAAAAAACACACACACACACACACTGAACAACAACAATAGCAGCACCAAACTGCAGGAACTGTAATGAGTGTCGTAAACTCACCTGCCCAGGAGTCACAGGCCCAGATTCCACCGCCATTTGTACAACCTTTTTTCCCAGTAAAATCAATCGATCTACACAAAAATACCCAAATCTACAAAACTCTCATGAACTCAAATTTTAAAAGCAGGGATCTGAAGCAACAATGGGCGATGTGACCTCGCTCGTTTGCTTCAAGATTTGATAAACGGAGAAAGGGCTTTTCGGTCGAGACGTCCCTATTTTCAATTTTGAGACCACCAACCGTCTCTGTTAATATTCTAAGCTCTCTACCATTAATGGCTTCTATATTCGTTTTCTCCTTCCTCTTTCTTATTTATTGTTGTTTCTTACTATTTTTTCTTTGTCTCTCTATTTCTGTTAAAACATTTCTATCATGAAAATTGCACATTTGTAGACCTCTTACTTTTGTTTTGTTTGATTTTCTTTTTCTTTTTTTTCAATCATGATTGAAAAAAAGAAAAATTATAAGATTATTTTCTCTTTTTACTTACACTTTCATAATATAGTTAATACCTAATAAAATTATAAACGAGCCGAGTGGAGAGTCAGAGACTCATATTCCACTTCAAGCTCGAGTTCTCATCGGACTCAGTCGATAAACGAACTTGAGTTTGATTCGTTAGTGAAATTTCTAATTTCAAACCTAACAAAGACGAACAACTCGTTTCATTTAACAGTTCAAATGCGATTAATAGTTCTAAAGAATTTTGTTTATGATTATAGTATAATTACATGAATCTTAAAACAAAATTCTGATTAGGGTTGAATAACTTTTGATCACTTGCAATTTCATCAAATAACATTTTTAAATTTAAATTTGCATAATAAACTTTACAGTTTCTTCCAAAATATGTGGATTTTAAATTACAATTTGTTGATTTAAGTTCAAAAAGCCCGACATAAAGAATTTGCAGGTGGAGGCCATTCACTCATTTTTAACACGAAATTTTAAAATTATAGTACCAGACTAGAATTATAAAAAATTATTCAATACAACTAACTAAAAATTATTTAACTAAAGTTAAAGTTTATCCATTGATTGATTCTTTCATTTCAATACGGCAAAGAGACCAAATATTAACAAGCTCCACGTGGGAATTCTATAATGAAAATAATATTATGGGCACCAAAAATATCAGTTTTTTTAGATCAATTTTATTTCCTTTAAAAAATAAAGAAACGTATAGAAATATGAAACGCGTCGCATTTATGCATAGATATGAAGATGATGATCTTGTGATATTTCATAATGGCTATCACCATAGTTATGGTTAGAGTTATTTAATCAGCTCGTAAAAAACAATAAAAAAATGATAATCTTGAATAAATGATAATTAAGGATAGTTATTAGAACTAGAGTGGTGTAAAAATCAGACAACTGCCTTATACGGATGGTATAATTTGGAATATTAGGTACAGACAGTGCATAATTATGTGGATTACAAATGAAGTAACCATTATGTGTTGATTACTATCATATTTTAGGATAGACAATTAAATAGAATGTAAAAGGGGTCGTTTTGGACCTTTTGGTTATGAAATAAATAGAAAAAAACAGTAATATGTTTGTAGAGTGTGCCATTTGATACATATTTTGAATCTATTGTATAGGAAAAAAAATATAAGAGTGATTATCATTTATCAATATTTTCACCAATATTATGTAGACTTCACCTAATGCTCACGTTGATTTTCAGATCGTTGGATTAATATTTGTGTATGTAATCTGACGATCCTATAGACAGGGTTTATATGAATAGAGTCGAATATCTTCAATTTGCCTTCAAAATGGCAAAATCTAACTATTGAGATATCTTTGCAATGTTTAGATACAACCCCTCAGTGTGTAGAAAGTAGAAACAATTCATAATTATGACTTACGAAAATTACATTTTTTGTTTTAATTAGATTTAATTAACAAGGAAAAAAAAAAAAGACATTAAAGAAAGAAGCGACTTGCACGCACACGTAATAATACACATCTTAAGTTTGTCTTTGGGTCAACAGTACACAGGCCAATTTAATGTTCAGGAAATTTTCATCTATCTTATATGGTTATGAAAATATTACAATTATACCATACACCTATAATTAATTATGTTTTTACTTAAAAAATAACATTTAATTGAATTAATGCTTAGATTCAATTACTATTTAATGCTAATCTCCCCATATCTAATGCGTGATTTCCGTTTTGGTTACTAGAAAAAAAAATTAAAAAAATCTTGCAGATATTAGGTGGTGAATGAAATACGGGAATTAACAACTCTCGATAAATTTCTTGTTTTTCGGGAGGTGGTAAAAATTGCAGCATATACCGAAAATATACTGAATATAAACCCTAATCACATTTTAACTGTCGAGAGTTCCTTAGTAACGGTTATGCATATTTGGGACTATGTATATAAACTATAAAAAAAAATTAAGTTTATTCTTATTTTAAATCAATTTTTAAATATGCTTTAGTATATGTTGAGTTTACGTATTGTTTATTTTACTTTTATGTTTTGTAAACAACTTTACTAAAAAAAATAAACCGTATATATACACCACAAAATCATAAAAAAAAAGCATNATAAACTTAGATGTACAATAACTGTACATATCGCTAAGATGTACATATATTGTACATATACTAATCATAAACTTATTTGTATAATGAAATTATACTCTGTTGCTATCATCACCCTTCTCGGCAAACTGTAAATAATCCCGGCGACTCCAATCCAAAGTCTGTGGATTTCAAATGTACTGATTGATCTACACCCAGTCCAAAAACCTAAAAAGTCGAAGCAAACATCGATTTTCCTGCAACCAACCAACCATCTTCTCCAACCATGGCGACGCCGCAACCCTCAACGAGGACGCCATATATACCCTAATCATATACGTGAATTAATCAAGCTGAATCCTACCTTTTTCAACTTTTTCATCTCGATAGCAGCTAATGCACTGGATCTTGGTGCCGTCTTAATTCCAAGGAACGGTGAAGAACCAGAACACATCTCACGAGTTAAATCTACCTGAAAACCAATTTTGTTTGAAAACTCCCATGGATGAAAAATTCAATGAACCCGTCTCAACAACTGTAAAAAAAAATCCCATAGATGAAAAATAAAATGAAAAGGACAACAATATCGAAACGTACCACCGACATCTATCAGGAGGGATTGGGGTTGAAGACACAAAAGTACACGCCGCCAATTCGACGCAAAAATCAGCCAAAAAAAAAAAGTGTGAAGTATTCGTAAGAATAGAGAAAAATTATAATAATCAACATGACAGCAAAACACAGAGAATACAGAACTCTACCTTCAGTAGGATGAACAAATCGTCACCAAACAGGTGATTGTTAGAGATGAGCGTGAAACCTTAAATCCGAACAGGGGCAATTATGTATACCTAAAACTGTTTGGAAGGTTAGTAGATTAAGTTTCTCGATTGGGCCAAACCTCGGGTTGACCCGACCCAATCAACCCCGCCTCTGATTCCTCCCTCCTCAACTCCGTCGAGCACCTCCACGACCTCCATCTCCGATAGTTATCCTCCGTCGCGCGCTTTCCCGACTTCTGCAATGCAATGAGAGAGAGAGAGAGGACAAAAAACGCCTACACTGATTTCTTTGGTATACACCGATTTCTTTGGTATGTAAAAATTTAATCTCAATTAGTGATCCCACTTGCATTTAATTTGCCCCGAAATTACTTAATAATGGTTAAAGTTGCAGCAGTTCACATGAATGGTATAATTGTAATATTTTTTTACTTGGTTTGGTAATCTTATAAATAAGTATACAATGAGTGTATAAGTGCAATATAAATCATATCTGATAGTAAGGGTTGTAAATTCCTTTACTTTTTTTTCACAAAATAAAAAGGGGATCTCAGTTAATCGTTCTTCTCCATCCTACCACTTAACAATATAATGCTCATAACAAAAAAAATATTAAAACGTCCAATAACATAAAAATAAGTGGACGACTAAGATTAAAAGCTTTGATCTCCATAGATGTATTTCGGCTCGCCACGTGTGAGAACCTTCATTTCCCACTTGAACTTGGTTTGATGGTTAGACGCCTTCATTATCAAAACCCGATCGAGAAGCCCTTCATCCCCATTTCCATCCTCCAGAATCCTAATTTCCTCGATTTCTATTGAATTTACCACACCTACCAAAGTCAATCAACAGATTGAGAGCAAATTGAGAGGGATAGAGAAGTTGATCTAGGGTTTTCAAAGGGGATCTCTGTTAATTGTTCTTCTCCAGCAGAGATGGCGACATGGCGGACATGGAAAACTTCTCAGAACTACTCGCCGATGATCCTCAGCCACACGCAGCGGAGCATAGCAACAAGAAGAATCCGATGCTTATGGTACGGCACACACACCAAGGAATAAAGGATTGCTCGATAATACAATAAAAAACAACTCGCCTAAAGTTCTGCGCGTCGATACTCTTCCTAGCTTGTCTCGAATCATAGCTAAAAGGTTCGATCACTATGATAGCCATTTCATGATTCGCGTTCTAGCGAGGGGCAGTTCATAGATGCTGTTGTCATGTCATAGACGTGGTGGTCTCATATGGGAGGCTCGGTGGGACCCCACAACCTAATCCTTCAGTACCTTTGCGGTTTTCATTTGGGTTCGTCACGTTCGACGGGATTGTCGGCATACGGATTAGGTGCGGCTTATGGAGAGTATAAGCTGGTTAGATCTCGCGTGAAGAAAGATGATGGTCGCGTACGAATCTGTGTTGAGCTGTTGTCACTACAAACTGGTTTCTGGAAGGAAATTAGGTATCCTCATGATTCCGCCATGGAACTCTTTCAGATACCTTCCATTCACATTAATGGAGTATATTATTGGCTAGCTTCTGATGATGATGCTTCTTTCGCGGTTATCTCGTCCGACTTTACTAACGAGAAATTTCTTCCTCTGATTGATATGTCGGAAGGAGGAGGTAATCTGGTTTTGTTCTGGCCGAGTTTTATGGGGGCTGGCCGTGGTGAAGGAAAATGGTAATTATTTTCAGATTTGGATGAGGCAGGAGGAGAACTGGTCTCTCTATGCCACCTTCCGATTTCCAAAGGATGATTGCACGATTCTTGGACTCTACAACAATAATTTGGTGATCCTTAAGAACTCTCAATGCGATCTACTACTTTACGATTACGTGTCCAGAAAAATGGAAGCACTAGGTATTCGTGCGAAAAGGAAGTCACCCACGGTATTCCCGTACGTTGAATCAACGGAAATTATCTCGGACGCATCTAAATATAAATTCAGAGCGTCTGCTTGCCAAGCACTGGCACATCCCCTTCTTGCTATTTTGGCACATCCAGTGCTTAACAACAACAA